CTATTTACTCAGTGATATTCTCAATCAGTACTCAGCCTAGAGGAGAGCAGCAGCAAAGAAGTAACAAACATTTCATCACTTAACAGCATATTCATATAAAAATATTCATGGGATTATGCACATATGAAGTCATATATCACCATTTAAATCTTAGCCTAGAAACACTAAACTAAAGAAGTAATTTGAAACTATAAGGCACAGCTCTACATTTTAGCATTTGTATTTGCAAGAGATTATGTTGTGTTGTTAGGGAAATTAGTCCATATTTAATGAGGTGTGGTCCCCAAGCTATTTCCATGAGGCTCACTTCTGTCACGTGTTTATTTTGGGAAATATTCATTACAGGCCTTCATTTCCACTCTCTGTTTTTAAGATGGAGAGTGGAATTGATTTTCTGACTGGGATTTTCAGACTGGGATTTTCCATGTGAACAAATTCAGAACCCAGCTGAGGTGGGGAAATACCTGAAAGGGAGGTGGCCAAAGCTCTACCTCTACACTGCTCCATGGAAGGCAGCCAGTGCTCTGTGGGGTGGCTGCAGAGCTGGACAGAGGCTGATTGGCAGCACAGAGGAAAACCAATTTGGGTTTTCCTGACCTAGGAATTCTGGCAAGGATCCTGCTGGGGAGCATCCTCATATGGTGAGACAAGATTGCACTGTGCAAGTGACACAACAGCAAAAACTGCAGGAACTGAGCATTTCTGCAATTTTAGCATTAATGCCACACTTTTAAATCAACAGAAATATATGTTCAGGCTCTCCAGCAGAACAATACCTCAGATAATCACTTAAAGACTCCAAATATTACCCTGTACAGAAAATGTTCTCACCTCAGCTAAGTCATGAAATTTATTATGGACTATCTCATACAGAACCTTCAACTCCTCATAAGTCAGCTCATCCTCAATACGATGCATTTCTGCCTGCAAAGACAAAAAAGGTAAAGGACCTGCATTAAAGGAGTACAGAATCTTGTTCACAAACATGCCAAGTATCTCTGCACTGATTTACAGACTTGTAGAAAAAAGTAACGTGGCATTAATGATCATATCCAAGTGCCTCAGCATATGAAAATTAATTAAAGTCATGTAGGTAATTGAAACATTGACATTCCTCTGAATTATAAATAAAGCTTATTTGCATTGCAAAATACACTGTTTTAGCACTGTAAAAAATTCAGAACTGTATCCTCTCATTACAAATAAGAAGTAACATTTGCAGCACAAAAATTAAACCAGGGAAAACTGATTGAAGAGAATGCCTTCCTTAGCTAGGAGCAAAAACAGATTCTATCTTGAGTAAAGCAGGTGGAGGAAATGAACTGGGTAAATTAGGACAATGTAATATTGATAGTCAGTTACTCAGACATGTTGTCTTCTTTGTACTGATTAACAGTTGTTTGAGGGAACTGATGATTCACCCAAGTCTAAAAAAATCTATCATGAAACAACAAAGCAAAAGACATTTTTCTAGTCCATTGCATTACCCTTGCTACATTTCACAGCTCTGCTGAACACAATATGTGCTCTTTAAGACCTGTCTTTGCCAAGTACTATAAAAATTTTCTGTACATTAAGATACTCCTACAGTTCATATTCAAATAACAAAAGTAAGGATTACATCCAACTTAAAAGTATCAATAGAATTCCTTTAATCCTTTAATACAGGTGTGGTACATGGTGCCCTAAACTGATTTGAAGAAGTTGTTCCAATACACCTAAAGATAAAAAGCAGCTAATTATAGTTCATGGGTTTTTTCTTTCTGAAGTAGGTCACAGGTTCATTATCAGGGGCACTAAATTCTTCATCCTCAAATAAACTTGGAAAAACAAAACTAATAAACAACCTCAACTGTCAAATAGCCACAATTTTCCCCAATTATCTACCCAAGCATATGGGCAGCCACATTTCTGGTACTTAAATACCTTCTGGATCTAGAGAGAACATGAGTTAAGAAAGCATTTTACCAACTGTCACAGGCATTCTGCAGCAGTTAATGCTATTTTTGGTGAGCACTGCTTACAGATCAAAAACCAGACAGCTTTTTGCAGTGTAAAACAAAACCACATGAACCCTGCAGCTCCCACATCTCATCATTAACATCTCAGCAGCAGACAGTTATTACAGTGACCTTAGGGGGTCACTGTGGTGAGAGAAGGACGAGAATCTTGTTTCTTGATCAGAAGGCTTGATTTATTGATATAAGATATATAATACATTATAACTATACTAAAAAGAATAAAGAGAGAAGTTGCAGAGAGCTGCTCAGCTAAGAATAGAATCGAAAGAATGAATAACAAAGTTCTGTGTGCAGGGGATCTGTCCCTGAGCTGCTCCTGTGATTGGCCTTTAATGGTACACATGGAAGATGAGCCAATCACAGGGGCACCTGCTGCATTTCACAGCAGCTGATAACAATTGTTTACATTCTTCTTCTGGGGCTCTGCTTCCCAGAAGATGGACAAATGTGAAAGAAAGGATTTCTATGAAAAAATGTCTGCGACAGACAGTCAGTTCAGTGAAAAGCCTGCAGTACAACTGAAGATGTTTCTTAACTCATCCAGGTTTTAAACATGGAAAGATGAAACAAACCGAGAGTAATACCATGAACCATCACTGTAGAAGAAACTCCAGTGGAAATACCTGGTCTGCAGCAGACAGTGGCTCTCCCTTCAGCTTGCTGTAGTACATGTCAGTGTAGGACACGGCGTCCCGGGCCCGGTGCAGCGCAAAGGCCCAGGTGCAACGCTGCCTCTGCTCCCTGATCTCCCACAGATTGGCATTCAGGGCAAAGATCCACCATTCCCGGCAGCTGAAACAATGTTTAATTACTGTAGTATCAGTATTTAATTAAAAAAACCTAAGGCAAGTGCATGTCCAGCTGGTGAAAGGTCCAGGAGAGGCAGTGAAAAGCAGTGGGCCAGCAGCCAGGAGCAGCAGCAGCCCTGGAGCCAGCACAGGGCTGCTCCTACAGGACAGGGCTCCCCAAGGCCCTGCCAGCCCCTGGGACTGACTCCAGCTGCCACACAGCAGGCACAGACAACAAAATTCAGACTTACACAGACTGACTGAAAGGCTCAGGTAAGGATAATTTTTCATTTGAATTACATCTGAATATTTTTAACTGATTTCTGAGGTGTAAGAGCCTAAATGAGAGATGCAGGACTCCAGGCAGCTCTTCCAAATGCAGTTTATTACATCCAAGATGTTACAGCAGCCCAGGGTCATGGGTGACAGAGCTGTGCCTGTCAGCTCCAGCTGCAGGCAGGCCTGGAGACCCTTTGGTTTTGGTTACAATGCATTATTTACATTTCTTTGCTGAGCATCTTCATACAGTAGAACCAATCTATACCTTAACTGTTCTCTATAGCCCATCATAACTACTGTAATTATCATATTCATGTTACTGTTCTCCAATCACTAAAAGTTAGTACATTACAGTTTAAGCCAGAAGTTGAAGCCTGCAGTAGAAAATTCTGAGAGCTTTTTTCCACTTGCAACATTGGCAGGCTTGTTTGCCTGTGCTATCTTTCTGCTTGGCAGAAACATCTTGTCTGAGGTGGGTTTATCTTTTGCTCTAAGCCATAAAAGCCCCTTCTAACTAACACACCCTTTGCTTCCTTGGTTATCCAGTGAGACTGGCTCAGCAATTCTTTTCTTCTATATCAAAACTTGCTTTCACTTCTATTCCTTCATCGGCCTCTACATTTAAAAATCCTTCTGCTAAGCACACATATCTGTGAGACTTTCTTGTCAAACTTTCATCCTTCCCAACACTGAGGTAAGGAACAAAACATGAGAACTGAACCTTTAACATTTGATTATCATGTATGTTTTTGTATTTCTCTCATTCTAGTTTTTCTAATACAGCTGACAACACCACATATGGAGATGCACTTACTTTTCTGTTACTGTGACCTTTGGTTTCCACTTCCTGTATTTAAGCTGTCGTTCCTTTCTATCCAGCTCCTTTAAAAATCCTATGATCTGCTGATACTGCATCTTTTAATGAAACAACACACAGATCAGTGAGGTGGTACTGGAGTGCTTTCCAAGAAGAGAGGAAAAAACCCAGCCAGAAACCCAACCACAGGTTTGGTTCACTGGAGGCAATGGCCTGTACACAGTGCAGAATTAAGATTAATGTTAATTCACAATAATTTTGCTCCCCAGTGTGACATAGCTTCTCCCAGCCACTTGTAGTTCATGTGTGACATTCCATTTATAGCTTTATTTACAAATAGAATGAAATCTTCCATGGCAGGTTATCAACAAAACATCAGCTGCTTTTGTACACTGTACAGACCAACCCTCCCCAACATGCACCCTCCCTATTACTACAATAAACAAACAATTTAATTCTTTTTGCAGTAATCCGTTTCTGTAAAATAAATAAGTAATTCTGAATGCTTGACTTTAGAACAAGTTATTCAATATATCTCTTTGAGCTGCCTCTCAGACAAAATCTTTCAGACAGTATTAATTCTCAGAATAATCATTATTAATAATAATGAATGCAGAGAGTATCTATGCTACAATAACAGCATTTCAATTGGCACAAACACTGCCACAGTTTTATGATACCTGTTCCAGTTACTGGCAGGTAAAAGGTTGGTATTTACCTGGGAAAGCTTCAGGGGTATTGTCTCCAGCTTAATGTCACACTCCAGCCGTGGAGTATGGCGGGACCTTAAAGGCTCCTTTGAGCAATTTCTCTTGAGGAGAGCAGAAGTGCAGACAGGCTCCATGATGTAATTGTGAGCACGACTTTCCATACTCCTATCCATTGCTTCCTGGGGGTTACAAGCAAATTACTCTCTAAGAAGTGAGTGTACAATATTCATTAGGAAGCACTGGTTTCATGTACTACAATGTACTTTATTAGCAGGCCAGTCCATTGGAAAAAACTTCTTGAACATGTTCTTCCTTCAAAAGGAAAACAAGCTATTTCACAGCACAGCCTTTGTGGGTTGCACATGTATCCTATCAGTAAAGCATGCAACCATAGACTTCTTTAGCTCTTAAAAGACAAATCCAATAAACTCTACACCAATCAGGTCTGTAGTGCAGAAAGGAGACTAACAACAACCTCTCTTTCATATACAAAACCTCCTTCATGTACCTGGAGCTGAGCAGGAGGCAGGTCACCCAGTAAAGTGCAGCTGGTATCCCAATAAACACTGAAATCAGCAACATCCATCTGCTTTTTCCGCATCCGCTTCTCCACCTGCAGCAGAAGAAGTGGAGTAAAGTCAAGATCACACAGCACGTGCCATTTAGTTTTTAGTTTTACACACCCAATAAAAAACATGAAATGCACAGAGTCAATTTATAACAACAACCAAAAGATTTTTAAAATGCTGTATGTTTTTTTGAATATTTGCTAGCACCCACAAAAGGCAGCACCCCATCTAAGCTGCTCTTGCACACACAAGTTTGCACTTACTGGTTCAAACACTGCATTTTGCATTGAGACGTTTTTGATGCAGACGCCAAATGCAAACGGCTGCGAGGGATTTGTGACACCATCCTCAAACCTCAAATGCACATCCTGGATTTTTAACTGGACAGAAAAAAAAATCATTACTATCATTACTAGAGATATACTATTTACATCATTATAGCCAACAGTAGTATTTTCACTAATGCTGGAACAATTTAATATTTAATTTCTGTAATTTTCCAATAAATATCTACTAGATATTTACCCTATTAGAAACCCTATTCCTCATTTCTGATTTGTACTCCCTGGTTCTACCTTCTCCCCAGATACCAGCAGTCCCTGCCCTTTTCCCCATAAATGAGTCACTTTCACAACACACTGTACTTTTTTTTGCTATCCTACAAGTATTCTCCATTTTAAAGGCAAATGTGTAAGTGCCAAGTACTCAAAAGCAAAGACTCACTTCAATGTTTTCTACAATTCTCGTGACTACAGATGCAGTAACTGAGTACCAGTAAGACTCCCCTTTCTGTTGTTGTTCTTTCTGAAAGAGAAAACAGGGATAAGCATTACTGCAAATGTAAAACCTGGTAAGGAGACAATATATTTTGTTACACTGAAATCACTGTTAACAAAGAGAAAGAAAAACTAAACAAGTTAACTTAAAGAGATTTATGGATCTCTGACATATGTGGGACATACCACATAATGGTGAGGGGTGGTAGGACAGAAACTGCACTATGTCAGCATGTGAAAATCAAATTTCAACTCCATCTCCCGTGCATTTGTTTTGTCTCTTGTTAGGAGACTTAAATACAATCCACAGAGGTTTCTTCATCATGAAACACAGGTGTGACTCACCTTCCATTTTTCTTCAAGTGCCAGCAGAAGGGCTTTCTTGTGTTCCCTTTCTTGCAACTTTTCCCTTTCCTCATCAAACTCTTCTCTTTTTTCTGGTGCACCAATTAAGTGCAGTTTTGAGACAGAGATCACCCATGGATCCACATGTGGACGATAAAAAGGGATCTGCAGTGTTATTTTGCCAATGAAACCTGAATAAACAAAACAGAAACACCCTCAGATTCCTGTGAAAGATTACTTTATCAACCTTGAAAATCCCCAAAGAAAAAGTGGCATAAAAAACAAATAAGCTAGAACAGAAATAACCTAAAAATCAGGCTACCTCATTTGTTCAAGCCTCTGACTCACAGGTACTCTAAAACAGGCAGTACTTCCTGCTTAGAAAATATCTGTCCTGCACACACAAGCAAAATACAAACCTGCCTTTACTTCAAATGGTAATTCCAGCTCCTTTAAGGCATCTTTTTTTAGTGGCAAGTTTTCCAATTCAACAGCACCTATACAAAGCAGAAGAAAAAGACAAGTCTGCTAAACAAAACCATGTTAAAGAAAGCCAACTTGAACACTGGAAGCCTAAAACAACTGGCATTGGTTTGTTAAAAAATTAAATGGGATTTAATAAGAAAAGCCAACCTATCACTTCAGGTTGTGTTAACATCACAATGGTTACTTAATGCACTTGTTAATTTTCCAGTGTCATGTGCTCAAATTATTTCATGATGTCATCCAGAATAATCACCTGTGGGGTTTTAGAACTGAACTTTGTGGTAGCCACAGACAAAACCTCTCCCCACTGTCTTTTAAAATGGGATACTTATTTTCTTAGTATTGTGAAAAGCACACCCAGAAAAGCCTTGCACTATTACAAAACATTCTCAGCAGCAGCAGCAGCAGCAGATAACAGCAGCAAAGGGTGAACACAAAGCATTGATTTGAGGACTGTACAAAGTACAAAACTCGTGGATGCAGCATGACACAAAGCAGAGCACAGGGGAGCACCTGTGAGCACTAAAAGGTAAGAGGCTGCAGGACACTTCCTGCCATGGTCCCTAGGCAGGAAAATTACTGAACATTTTCAAGAAAAAAATGACATAAATTCAACATGCTAAGGTAGCTAAGCATAGCTTTGAAAATTTATGTAAATTGCTTTAAGAGTGTAGATAAAGAACATAAGATCATTTACTGTTCATTATAAAGTCTAGTACCAAACTCTATTAAAAGGGTTTATATAGATATTAAACACAATATTAAGTGATTATTTCTATTCCACCTTTCAGTTATCACAAAAAAATAACATTTTTCTAAATCACAATATGAAAACAGAACAGAAGATGGCACAAAGGCTCCCTCACCCTTCAGAAGTGCCACTGAAAGTTGGTCTGTGTTCAGGTTATTGACATATTTGCCCAGGTAGGTGTTGAGGACCCAGGCTACCAATCCTTCCAACATGACTGTCCTGGAAGAAGAAACTAATGCTTTTCTGTCATTTTTTGGATTTCTCTTCCATAATTAGTCTCAGTCTGAAAGAAAAAAAACCAAGAAAATTATTGTCTGAAATAAACACTCAGCAGAGCTGACATTGCTGTCACTTCAGTTCTTACTGTGATCTATCTAAAGAGAAGTAAAAGCACCAAGGTTGATTTCTACCTTAAAAAAGCTTTGCCCCATGCCCTTTAAGTGTCAAATCAGCTTCAGAGAGAGATTTGCACATAAAGTTCATCTTTCCATCCTTTATCTAACCAAAACATTATTTTTGGTGCAATAATCAACACAGGGAATCCACAATCCTCCTGCAGAAAAGGAAAGGACAAAACTCCACGTTGATCTGAAGTTTGCACCGGCTCCTTGACCTCTGCTGCCAACATTTCACCATGCTGGCCTTGGCAGCTGCTCTGAAGTAACAGCCTGAAGCCTTCTGGATTTTTGTAGAATTCTTCCACGCCACCTATGAAGCAACTCACCCTACTCAAAGCCCTTTTTGGGAGAGCGGGTGTGTGGGCAGTAATCAGATCCAAGCCCCAAAAATAGCTCATCAACAGTTACTGCAACAGGTTTGCAAAGTGGCAGCAGAGATTATTGCACTGAGGAGGGAAAAAGCTGCATCAGAGAAGCAGCACACTCCAGAACGTTTCCCTTCCCTCTTCTCCAGTCACTTCTGTTTCACCTCTGTGGCAATCAGGGCAATAAAATCCCAAAGTCCCTGTTCAAGTTTTTAACCACAGAATTACAAAACCACTCACAGCTCTTGCAAGTGCAGGGTGAAGCCTGGTACAGTAAGGAAAAAAGCATGCAGGCCACTCCTTGTGATTAGAATGGAATAAATGTCTTGATTTTGTGTTTAAAAAATTCTCCCAATCCCATATACCTGCCTAAACCATTGAATTCTATACAGCACAAAAAGCAAGATACATCCTTTATTTACAGCTGACAATAGAAGGGAACAACAGCTTCAAGAGTCCCATTTTAAAATTTACATTAAGAGTTAGAGTTTTCTTATTATGAGATTTGGTTGATTTTAGGCAACCCCATTTAAACTTTTATTTCTTTCTTAAAAATGCAGTGAAAATATTTAACTAATAGTTAGAAATTTAACAAATAGTTAAATTAACTAATCAGAATTAAGAAAGCAATGAAAGGCCTTTTCTAAAGGCTAAAAGTGAAACTGTGCTGTCCTGAAGAATGAAACAGAAAACAGCACAGGAAAGTTCGATTCAATTCAATCACATGACTTCTTATAAAATGTGTTTTAATAGCTTTGCCTTTGTAAGATTTCTCAACAATTTTCAAAAACAATACTAATAAATAAAGACTAAGCATTTGTGCTCTTGGGCCGCCAGTTTACATTATAGCTTTTTATTCTAATGAAAGTGACAAGAAAGTCAAGATCAAACAAAAGTATATGCACTCATTTTTGTTACACTGTCATTAAAAAAAAAAAGTAAATAAAAGAAGGAATCTACAGGTGTTTGGAACCAAAGCAAAGGGAAGACCTTATAGAAACATTTAAGCACAGTTCAGCATCCCAGTGACTGAAACGCTCTGGTGCATGAACCATGCCTGAACTCACCCTCACAACTGTAAATGAAGCACATCACAACCTTAACCTAAACTCGTGGGACATAACTAACCATACACAAACCTTTCAAATCCTTTAAGACTTTTATATTTTTAACTCTCCAGTGCACTGCTGTGCCCTGGGGAGAAAAACGCGGCATTTCTTTCCTATGGCAATGTTTTAATTTCCTTAACGCACACAGTACAAGAACTGTCAGCGTGAGCACCAAAGCCCAAAGCAGGCCCTGGCTCCAAGCGAAATTAGGATGCAATTTTCCGCAGGGGGAGACAGAGCAGGCCCGGGAACGCCGGGGCCAGGGCAGGTGCCCGGGCAGCGCTCAGAGGGACGGGGGGCCCCTTTATCCAAAATCGGGAAGGAAGGAGCCTCCGAGCCAGCCGGGGACACGGGGGATCGCCAGCAGCGGGCTCGCCCGGCGTGCCGGGGAGGAAGCGAAAGGTCACCTTGCCCGGCGGGGCGGGAGGGACCCCGGGCAGCCCCGGGGAGCGTGAGGCGGCGAACGGCCCGCGCCGGGCGGGGAGGCCCAGAGGGACCCCCAGGCCCCGCGGCCGGGCTGAGCCCCCCGCGCCCCGCGGCGGGCGCGGGCACCGGGACACTCCGTGGACACACCGCGGACGCACCGGGACGCCCCTCGCCCACCCTTCCCGGGGCGGGGCGCCGCGAGGGGCGTGCGGCAGGGAGGGGCCCCTCAGGCCGGACCCGAGGAGCGGGAGCGGCGGCTGACGCAGAAGGGAAAAGGCAGCGGGGCCGGGGGTGCCCCGAGTGTCCCCCCCGTACCCCCTCGGGGCCACCTCGGGAGCCCCCCGGGAGCCCCGGGCTCACCTGCGCGGCGCTGAGTGCGGGCGGGGGGCGGCGGGCGCGCGCCGGGCGGTCGCGGGGGTGCGCCCGAGTGCGGGAGCGCCGAGCGATCGATGGGGCGGCGGCACCGCCCCCTGCAGGCGGGGCCGGGCAACGCCCCTGGGCTGGGCCCGAGCCGGGGCCTCCGCTCCGCCCTCACGGAAATGGACACAAACGGGGCGGGTTTAGGATTGGACACGCCCCCACGGAAATGAGCTCAAACGGGGCGGGTTTGGGGTTGGAACACGCACTGACGGAAATGGGCTCAAACAGGGCATGTTTGGGGTCAGAACACGCCCTCATGGAAATAGGCTCAAACAGTGCGGGTTTGGGGTCGAACACGGTCTCACTGAAATGGGCTCGGACAGGACGGATTTTGGGTCGGAACACACCCGAGGTCTCTGTGCTGCCCTCACAGAAAAAGACTCAAACTGGGTGGATTTGGGGTCGGAACACGCCCTCATGGAAATGAACTCAAACGGGGCGGGTTTGGGGTCGGAATACCCCCGGGATTTCTGCACCGCCCTCGCGGAAATGGGCTCAAACAGGATGGATTCGGAGTGTGAACGCGCCCTCACGGAAATGGGCTCAAACAGGGCGGGTTTGGGGTCGAACACGCTCTCACAGAAATGAGCTCAAACAGGGCGGGTTTGGGTTCGGAACAGCCCCGAAGTCTCTGTGCCGTCCTCACAGAAATGGGCTCGAACAGGGCGGGTTTGGGGTCCGAACGTGCCCGCGGCCTCCGCGCCGGCCTCACAGAAATGGGCTCAAAGAGGTTCAAAGAGATGTGAAAAAAGAGGTTCTTACCTAAATCCTTCAGTTCTGTAGTAGTTTCAATGTGCCCATTTTCAAAGTCTTTACTGAAAAATGCCTTGAAGTGTAAGTTTAATACAGATTTGCAAACGGCTTCTTCATAGAACTACAGACCTGTTTGTCCGTTCCAGAAATAATTACAGTTTATATAATACCAAGGCTTTTGTGGAAGTTTAAAATTTGTTATTTTTAGAATCCGAATACTCCTTTATAGCAATTTTATTCCAAAAGATCCTTTTACATCTCAGGCCTCACGAATAACCACTGTGTCTGACTTGAGATAGATTAGGACAGTTCAGTGGAAGTACAGGGATTAGGATCACATAGCCCAGCAGTGTTTTTATGGCATAACACAAGGGTTATGTGTCACTGAATGACTTCATTCCCATGGAATTCAGACTCTGGATTGCAGATTCTGGTTGAACACAGCCACCACAATTGACAGTTAAGTCACAGATGTAAAATATAATGATGGGAAGTGGGTTCTTAAATATTGGCTTCCAAACCACTTCATTCAAGGAGAACCTCCACTAATGTTCTGTAAGAGGTGGTTGGAGCTGCAGCATCATCAAACTGTGAGGGAGAACAGGATTTTCAGGTTCGGAGGTTTGAGTAAATTCCATTTATTACAGATGATGCTCTGCCACCTGAGGGCAATGAGCTCTCTGGCAAAGATAATCACAGGGATCTGCTCTAATAGTCACTGAACACAGGGAAAATATTTTGGATTTATGGTTTACCTCAACAATGAGGTCAGGATCAACGGGGGAAACATGTTACCTCAGCCAGGACACAAAGGTGACGAACTCTGGGGTTGTCAACAAAAGGAACTTCCTTCCTCCAAGGTAAAAACAGTTCAATCTGGATTTTTCCCTTCTAAAACAAAATTAACTATGTACAGGCAATGAAATGCTGTTGGTTAGACATAAAGGTTGTAATTTTAGTTGTAAAAAAGAGCTTGTGTAAAAGATTTCACTTCCTGATATCCTAAATGTTGTTAAGAAATTTTGTCTGATAATGAGAAAAAACAAACTGTAATAAAAAAGAAATATCCAGGAGGATGAGGGAAAGTATGACAACTAAAATACGGGATAGGAACTGATAGCTTTAAAATTTAAATCAAATGGATGATTCCTGAGCATTGAAAGAATGATATTTTAACCTCAGTCCCTTAGAAGTGCTGTCACAGCCATGTTCTTGACATGTGGCAGACCTTGAATAAAAATCATCATCACAAGAAGTCTCAGGAGAAAATTTAACAGCATAAAGTTTGAAAAATATTACTTTTCAAGTCTGGTAAAGGTCCTCTTAGAGTATCACAGAAGAAAGGGAGTTGGTCACTCAATTTTTAAAAGTTTCAATGCTTTTAAACTGCAAAGCAACAGAAGACACTAAAAAGCACCAGTGTCTATATTCATCTGAAATTTCAAATCTCTGTGAGAAAGCTACATTTACCATAATGTTTGTTTTATAAGACAAGAGGTTGTTTGATTATCAGTCAATCTGCATATTATCTGTAATTTCCTCTAACTGGTTTTCATCCCAGCATCTTGAATGCCCAGAGGAACCTTCTTTTCTTCTGGAAGTAAGTCTTGAAGTAAATTGTCCTCATTTTCCACAGCGATGTGAATTTCAGTTTCTTTGTTCAAGGCATTTTCTTCTTTTGAAGGGAGGGTTTCTTCCCCTCTTGGGGAACCCCAGGGAGTGTGCCCATTATCCCTGACAGTTGAATTTATCTGCTCAGGGCACTGGGAGCTGCAGTCTGGTCTGCAAAATTTCACAATGCACGTCACGTTCACCTGCGTGCCTCCATTACCAGAATGTTCTGTCAAATAAACACAAAACACAGAAGAATGAAACCAGAACAGGGCAGCTGGATTCTTTATCCAGCTCTTTGAGTTACAGATAAAATAGACAATAAATATCTTTTAGCTTCACTTAATTCAGTCAAGCTGGTTGAGTTGGTTCTGTAACATTTTGGTGCCATAAAATTCATGTATCTCCGCAGAAATAAAAAGGCTGCCAAAATTAATGCAGAGACCTGGACTGCAAACAATTCCTTGCCCATCTTGCCCATTCCTTACCATTTGTTGTCAATTCAAATGTTTTTACAATGTTCTTTTGTAACTGTTCCCTTTGGCTCCTACTCCCACCCACAGGTTAAGTGCCAACCACCTGATCCCCCAGCCCCTAAATCCCTGTTTGTCCACTGAGAAAACTCTCTTTACTGTCTCAGGATGGCAACTTAAAACAATCATTTTTTCTTTTCAAAAGCTACTAAATTTTCTCTCTGCTGAACAAGACTCAGATGTTTTATCCTGCCATTTATACTTCTGCTAAAAAGACTCATAATTTATAATTTCAGGAGGTTCTGGATCATTCAGAATCATTACTACCTGAACTTGCAGAGCTGTGTCTGTCTCCACTCAGGAATTTAGAACCTTCAGGAGGTGAATGCTGCTGCTGAAATCCTCCTGAGTTTTTATTTTCATCATTCTCTTTACTTATTACACTGCTGGTTGCAGATCCAGTTGGATTCAGGAAACTGCTGCTGGACCCAGAAGTTTCCAAGAGATGCTGTTGTTCCTGTTCAAAACTCCTGGAGTTCTGCAATTCTGCATCTCTGCCTTTTTTGTCATACTGTTTTTCTGGAGGGGGAAAAGGCTGGAACATTTGCAGAGAAATGCAAAATGTTAATATTAAAAAAAAAAAACAAAAAAAAAACCAACAAAAAACAAGCAACCCACCAGCAAAGAACTGGTCAGTATTTTGGCAGCTGAAGAAACCAGTGATGATTGGAACCAGAGGAGCTTTAATGTCCCTTCCAATCCAAGCCATTCTGTCATTATTTTCATTTGCATAGTGATGGGTGCAAGTAAAGTCCATAACAGCTCATTAGGGGTTCAACAAAATGAACCCATTTCCTCAAGGCACCCACAGCACTGCTCTCATTACTTAGGGACCAAATTTAGTTTTCAAATTTAGTTTTCAAAACCCCACCTGGGTTTTAGTGCTGTTTTCAGCCTCACATAAAAGTGAGGGTGGGACATTATGTGGGATATATAAGGTACATCTTACACCCTGGATTGGGGCCAAACCACCCTGTTCTCACTCCAGATTTCTCGCTGCTCTGCAGTTTTTTTCTACTGGTAATTAGAGTTTATGATTTCTGTGTAACTTTTAAAGAAATGGAAGAGATGGGAAGAGAGGACACTCACCAAACCTGCCTCTGTAGCTGCTGCAGAGTACACAGGGGCTGCCAGTGAGCAAAGACAGTTTGTTAGCACCCAAACCTGTCCCATTTGCAACAGCTGCACCCTAAACTAGGCTGTGATCCCCTGCTCCTGGAATAAACTTCAAATATACATTTATTTCACAAAGTTTGAACACATTGGAATCTGTATTGCATTAATTTCGTGACTTAATTAGCCAGGAAGCAAAGAGAAGCCTCAGCATTAATTCATCATTTTTCTTGTATAGTGTCAGTGAGAAAAGGTATGGATGACAATAAACCATATTCATGTCTGTTTAATTATAACACTTGAAATTGTCGAATATTTAAATGATGAGGTACCAAAAATTTAACAAGCTCCAGCAGAAGCACAACTGTTGCACAGTTGTCCAACTCTAAGGCTGTTGTGTGTTTAGACAATTATTTAGACAATTACCTAAAATCTGAGGTACAAGACAGATTTGAAGAAAGCTGGCATCTTCTTAGACACTAATTTCCGCCAACCACCAGGCTCAGGTAATGGGAAATCAGGCAACACTTCACAGTTTTTACAGATTTGCTTGTTTTCACTTAACGAGTCTTACCTTTTTTTTTAGAGACTAAGCAATACCCCAAAATAGCAATTACCAGGACCAATAACAATGGCCCTGCTACTGCTCCTGAAAATAAATAAAAAGAAGAAATTATTTAGCAGCTTGATCTTATTAGAAAAAGGTAGTTTTGTAGTTTCTGTGCCTCACTACAAAAGCTAAATTTACAGGTGTTGTGTATGTCTGACATTCACATTTGATGCCTCAATTGTCAGACACCAAGGTCTCATTTCAGTCACCACCACTTCATAAAGCTGAATTCTCTCATGAAAAATGAGGACAGATTTTTGGCCTTGGTCCCAAAAGGTATTTCTCCAGGCAAGCAGGAGTTTGTCACATACAAGGCCAAGTAGCTCAAAGTGCTCCTAAACATCTCTGCCTGCTCCTGTGAACAG